TTTTTTAATGCAAAAAAAAAAAAAAAAAAAAAAAAAAAAAAAAAAAAAAATAAATAAATAAATAAATAAATAAATAAATAAATAAATAAATACAATTATATTTATTTATTTATATTATTTTTCTTTATTTTATTTATATTTACAGCTCATATATTCATGCAAGGGGGTATATTTGCATTTATTGGCATTTATTTGTATGCATGCATGCATGCATGCATCCATATAAATAAATAAATAAATAAATAAATGCAAGGAAATGCATGCAAAATACTGAAAGATGGAGATACACCCCAATGCATCATATACATGCATGCAGGCATGCATGCAGGCATGCAAAGAAAAAGGGAAACACACTCAACAAATGCATGCATGCATGCATGCATGCATGCAGTTGCAGATACACTGCAAATAGACATGCATGCATGCATGCAACTACATGCATGCATGCATGCAGATAGGCACATCAGCATACACCCCACATAAATGCATGCAACATAGAGAACAGATTTGCATGCATGCATGCATGCAGCTGCATGCATGCAAAGGGAATAAAGTTGCATATACACCGCAAAATAAGATAAATAAAGACCTCAATATACACCTGCAATGCATGCAAAAGGGGAGCTGCCTATACACCCCAAATTCGTGCACGTCCCCCTACCCCCCTCCAAACCCTAAACCCTAAACCCTAAACCCTAGACATGGGCATAAACAAGAGGAGCAAACCCTCAAGACAAGCAGCAAAGAAGCAAAGAAAGAGCAGCAAACAACATATAGAAAGAATAAAAAACAAAGAAACAAAGATCGTGCAGCAGGAGGAGGAGCAGCAGCAGCAGCAAATGCATGCAACAAGATCCTCAAAGAAAAAGAAGAGAAAAGGAAAGTTAAATATAAGAAAAAGCCCAAAGAAAGGAATTAAAACAAACAAAAAACAACAAAACCCTAAACCCTAAACCCTAAACCCTAAACCCTAAACCCTAGACATACCTGGAGGACTACGCGGACGCGGTAGTTCAGCCATTGCTGAAGCCTCGCGTTCTTGCTGGGCATCTTGTGAAACAAAAACCCTAAACCCTAAACCCTAAACCCTAAACCCTAAAACCCTAAACCCTAAACCCTAAACCCTAAACCCTAAACCCTAAACCGCACGGCTGCTGCAGATTGGGGGGATTGAAGGACGCAGCGCCTTCCTATTAAGAAGAAGAAAAACAATTTAATTTGTTTATTGTTGCTGTTTTGCAATATAAAACAGCAGCAGCAGCAAAACTTTTACCCAAAAAATGCTGCAGCAGCAGCAGCAGCTGCTGCTGCTGCTGCTGCTGCTGCTGCGGATGTATGTATGTATGTATGTATGAATGTGGAGGCGGGCCCCAGTGCCTTTCTTGCTCCCCTTTGCTGCTGCTGCTGCTGCTCCTCTCCTTTATTTTCCTGCTGCTGCAGTATTTATATTTATTATTTTATTTTATTTTATTAAGAAATTAATACTTATATAAGGTGTATATACACCCCAACAGCAGCAACAGGGGGGGCAACAGGCATATCCCCACAAACCTACGCTGCTGCTGCACGCTGCAGCAGCAGCAGCAGCAGCAAACCAGTCATATGCAGCAATGCATGCAACAGCAGCAACAGCAACACCAGCAGCAAGTAAACGTCTATAGCTGAGGGGCTAGAGGGGCCCCTGGGGCCCCCTGGGGCCTCCGTACACTCTCAATTGCTCGTTCTAAGACAGCAGACATAACAGGGGGCCCACCTGCCTATACACCTCACGTAGTTAATAGATAACTTAAGGAAACAAATAAACCCTAAACCCTAAACCCTAAACCCTAGATGGTGTAGGCAACAAACAAGCTGTTGCAGTGCTACTACCATTACTACTACTAGTACGACTCCTACTACTACTACTACTACCGCTGCTGCTGCTGCTGCTGCTGCTGCTGCTCCTCTGTTGTTGCTGCTGCTGTCCTAATCAGCCCAACCCTTACGGGGGGCGCATGCAAACTGCATGCAAAAAGCCCCAAAAAAATAGCCCTCAACTAAATAGAAACAAAAAAAGGGTTTGTTTATACCCTAGGGGCCCCCTGCCCCTTTGGGGGCCCCCGTTTACGGGGCCCCCTAATTTCCTCCCCAAAAAGGGCCCCCTTAGGGGCCTCCTTTATATATGCCCCTATTGTGCGGCACCCTTATAGGGTACCTCTAAGTTGGGGACCCTAGAGGGGCCCCCCCTCCTAGGAGGGCCCCCAGTGGGTCCCCTACGAGGGGCCCCTCTCTATTGGGGCCCCCTTACCCTGCTGTTTGTTAGCCCCCTGTAGAGGGCCCCCTGTGGGCCCCCAAGATGAAACAAGGAACACAAACAGCAACAGCAGCAGCAGCAGCACCTGCTGCTGCTGCACCTAGTGCTGATGCAGCAGCAGCAGCAGCAGCAGCAGCAGCAGCAAGAAGCATGATTAGATGATATAAGGAGAAGAAGATTTAATAAAGTCTAAGAATAGAAGAAAAAGCCCCAAAAAAAAGAGCGCATGCACAATATATCTCCTAAAGGAGGACTTCCTTTTTAGGGTACTAGATAGGGCCTCCTGGGCCCCCTTAACATTTGCTGCAGCTGCTGCTGCTGCTGCTGCAATTTGCATGCATTGTTCTGCTTGCTCAGCAACAGTAAAGGAGAAAATGTTCATTAATTGATTTATTTCTCCTAATCTACGCTGTACAGACACCACAGCATCTGTACTATCTGCTGCTAGTGCTGCAGCAAGCTGCTGCTCCTCCTCACGCAGCAGCAGCAACTCATTACTCTCTTGTTGCTGCTGCTTCTCCTTCTGCTGCTGTTCATGCTGCTGTTGTTGCTGCTCCTCCTCCTCAACTGCAACAGAAGTTGCTGTTGTTGCTGCTGCTGTTGTTGTCTTCTGTCCACGGCGATAGTGCTGCTGCTGCTGCTGCTGCTGCTGCTCTCGTTGACGACGCATTGCTGCTTCTGCTGCTGCTGCTGCTTCTGCTGCTGCACTCAATCCTAGACCAGTGTTGCTGCTGCCTGCAGCAGCAGCAGCAGCAGCAGAAAAGAATCTGCTGCACTCCATCTGCTGCTTCAATACAATTGCTTCCCTTCGTTGCATCTCTGCTGCTGCTTCCTGCATTGAGGTGTATAGGCACCTCAATACTGCATGCCTATAGGCTCGTGCGTCTCTTAAGTCCTGCTGCTGCTGCGGCTGCTGCTGCTGCGGGTGCTCCTGTTGTTGCTGCTGCTGCTGCTGTCTCAGCCGCTGCAGCACTATAAGATCATCTACATCCTCTGCAGAGGACTCTAGCTGCTGCGCTTGCTGCCGCAGCAACTGCATGCGCTGCAGCAGCACAGACATATCGGATACAACAGCATCCTCGTTGCTGCAGCAAATATCATCAACTGCAGCAGAACTGCTGCTGCTGCTGCTGCTGCTGCGCTGCAGCTGCTGCTGTAGTTTCCTGAGCTCCTCTTGGCAACGATAAACACCTGCAAGGAACTTAAAACGCTGTCGATGCTGCTGCTGCTGCTGCTGCTGCTGCTGCTGCTCTCGCTGCTGGTGCTGCAGCAACAGCTGCTGCTGCAGTTGCTGCTGCTGCTGCTGCTTCGGCAGCAAACTAGGCTTTAATACCTCATAGAGAGGAGGAGGGATTGGCAGCGCCTGTGCTGCTGGCCTCCTTGAGAGACACAAGAAGTCCTCGTAACGATCTACCATTTCCTGCTGCTGCTGCTGCTGCTGCTGTTGCTGCTGCTGCTGCTACTGCTGCTGTTTGCGTTGTGTTGATGTGGCTACGTGCCCGGGGGTCCATGCCGCTGCTAATGCTGCTAATGGCTTCCCTGCTGCTGCTGCTGCCACAGCGAATGTGGTCACCCGCGCTGCTGCAGCAGCTGTAGCTGCTGCTGCGGCTGCTGCTCTAGCTGCTGTTGCTGTTGGTGGTGGTGGCCCATAGAGTGCATGCGGCAAGGGATGGGGGGCCCTCTGACGGTGCCATTGGGGCCCCCCAGATGCTGCAGCCGCCGCAGCTGCTGCTGCTGCTGCTGCTGCAGCTGCTGCTGCTGCAGTTTATTGGTAAACAAATAGATAAAAAGAAGGAAGAAGCAGCAGCAAATGAAGCAAAGACAAGAAATGAATAAAAGAGCAGCAAAATAAGAAATAGGAATAAGAAGGAGAATATCTTCTTCTTTAATAAAAAGAAGGGGGCTGTGGGACGGCAGACACCCGGTTGAGACGGGGCTGCTGCTGCTGCTGCTGCTGCTGCTGCTGCTGCTGCAGCAGCAGCTACTTGAAAAGGAAAGTTTTTGCCTCTTAATATTGAATAACAAGAATTAATTTAATTTAAAGTATTAAAATGAGAGGAAGCAGGCCTACAGGGCTACCCGCTGCTGCTGCTGCTCCTTAGGACTGATGGTGCAGCAGCAGCAGCAGCCGCAGCAGCAGCAGCAGCAACAGCTGCAGCCGCTGCAGCAGCAGCAGCAACAACTGCTGCAGCAGCTGCAACAGCAACAACAGCAGCAGCATTTTGCAGGAAGCAGCCACGCATACGACACCACGAGGGTTTAACCACTGTCTTTATTCATACAGCCCAAGTTGGGCTACAAGAGTGGGGTTTAGGGTTTAGGGTTTAGGGTTTAGGGTTTAGAGTGGAGGGTTTAGGAGAGCCCACACTTTATCCTTGTCGCATCCGTCGTCTTGCTCTTCGTGGTTTGGCAGCAGATCTGCTGCAGTTGCAGCAGCAGCAGCAGCAGCAACAGGCAGGCAGGACCGCTCGCGACACAAGCAGCAGCAGCAGCAAAAGCAGCAACAGCAGCGGGAGCAGCAGCAGCGTCTACTACTAGGCGGCGAGCAGCAGCACGTGGAGCAGCAAGTGCAACATTGGCAGCAGCAGGAGCAGCAGCAGCTGTTGTATTGAGTGCGACTTGAGAGCAGCCCTTGAGGTGCTGCTGCTAAAGCTGCTGCTGCTGCTCTGCTGCTGCTGCTGCTGCTGCTGCAGCAGAGTTGCTGCTGTGGGAGAAAATGGAGGCAGAAGAAGAATTGCATTATGAAGGGGAGGGCCCCATGGGTCAAGACTGTGCAGAAAGGCAGCATGGGTCTCCTGCTGCTGCAGCTGCTGCAGAAGGTACGCTGCTGCTGCTGCTGCTGCGGGGAGACATATACACCTGGGGCCCTTAGGACTGGAGGAGACACAAAGGGAGACAGAGACGGGGAGGGGAGACAGCAGCAGCTGCTGCTGCTTCTTCTTCTATGGGGATCTATATGTAATAGGAGGAGGGACCTGTCATGATCTACGTGCTGCTGCTGCTGCTGCTGCTGCTGGTGTCTCTTGTGTCCATCAGGAGAGGGGGGTAGATTAGGGGGGTCGTTAGGGGGCCCCCAGGGGGCCCCTTGCGAGGAGCCAATGGCAGCTGAAGAGGAGATGAGGGGCCCCCGTGATGGTGAGGCAGCAGATGAAGGAGAGCAGCAGCAGCACCAACAGCAGCAGCAGCAGCAAGAGGAAAGGGAACGAGATCGTAACGAGGAGAGGCAGCAAGACCAAGAAGAGCAGCAGCAGCAACAGCAGCAAAACTCGAGGATAGCCTATAAGGGAGAAGGAGGACCAGGAGGAAGAAGGACACAGCACCGTGTGGTGCGCATGCAGCAAACACTTTTCTAGGGTTTAGGAGGGTTTATGAGGGTTTATAGGGTCTATTAAGGGTTTATCTTTCTTGATTAGGGTTTATAAACCCTTATTAGGGTTTATTTAATTTCTTGAGGGTTTATGGGGTCTGTTTAGGGTTTTTATTAGTGTATCAGGGACTATATAAATTTAGTAGGGTTTAGGGTTTAGGGTTTAGGGTTTAGGGTTTAGGGTTTAGGGTTTAGGGTTTTGTTGTTGTGTGCAGCTAATAGCCAACCTTGACGCGACAGTACAGTGGCAAGACCTAAAGGACTTCGGACGAAGAGGTAAGGGTTTAGGGTTTAGGGTTTATTAGGATTTAGGGTTTATTAGGGTTTATTAGGGTTTAGGGTTTAGGGTTTAGGGTTTAGGGTTTGTGTTATTTGTTTGGTGCAGCTGGGGAAGTCAACTTCGCGAATGTCGTCTTTGCTGGAGGCCGCAAATACGGGTATATATTTAGCAGCAGCAGCAGCAACAGCAGCAGCAGCAGCAGCAACAGCAGCAGCAGCAACAGCAGCAGCAGCAGCAGCAACAGCAGCAGCAGTAGCATTAGCAATGAACACTTTATCGTATAATAAGATAGACTAGGGTTTAGGGTTTAGGGTTTATAAATATTTTTTTTTTTTCATAGGATATTTTCATAGAGTATTATGAGGGTTTAGGGTTGAGGGTTTAGGGTTTAGGGTTTAGGGTTTATATATATATTTTTTTTTTTTTTTTTTTTTTTTTTTT